TGTAGCTTTTGGAGCCTATCCTGGAACTAACTCTGTAGACCAGGCTGGCCTCGAACTCACAGAGATCCACCTGCCTCTACCTCCCCAGTGCTGGGATTAAAGGTGTGCACCACCACCACCTGGGTTCCCAGGCTGATCTTGAACTCACAGAGATCAACTTACTTCTGCCTCCTGAGTGCTGGGATTAAAGGCTTACACAATGACTGACCAAAATATTTTTATTTTATTTTTTAATTTAGATTTTATGTGTATAGGTGTTTTACCTTAAAGTATGTGGATGCACTACATGTGTGTGGGCCTGGCACTATCAGAGTCCAGAGAAAACACCAGATCTCTTGGGACTGTAGTTACAGACATTATGAGCTGCCATGTGAGGGCCAGGAATTGAACCAGGGTCCTCTAGAAGAGGAGCCAATGCTCTTAACTCAGGAGGCATCTCTCCAGGCCCAAGTCAGTTTCTATTGAATGTTAAATTCTTGGGCCAGCAATGACTTAGTGGGTACATTTGCTAAGATACAAGAAAAAAGGACTCTCAATAGAGAATTAAGATCTGTAAAAATGACGAAATAGAAATTCAAATGAATCATAAGGTTTAGCAACTGAAATGATAACATTTGTTGACTACATAAAATCAACAGCAGATCAAACTAGCAAAAGAAAAATTTAAGCTTAAATAAAGAGCAGCAGAAATGATCAAATGTGAATAATAAGAGAAGGTAAACAGAGCCTTAGATACCAGTATATTTTAACTATACCAGTATGCATATAAAAGGAGTTCCAACAGAAAGCAAACAAAGGTTCAGATTAAAAACCCTTGAAGTCCAGGCAGTGATGGTGCACACACACCTTTAATCCTAGCACCCTCAAGGCAGAGACAGGCAGATCTCTGTGAGTTCAAGGCCAACCTGGTCTCTAGAGTGAGTTCCAAGACATCCAGGGCTATACAGAGAAACCCTGTCTCGAAAAACCAAATGAAATAAAATAAAAATAAAGTAAATAAATAAATAAGTAAAAAGCTGAAGAGGAGGTCAGTGAGATAGGTCAGCATGTAAAGTCCTTTTTTTTTTTTTTTGAGAACCAGTTCTTACAGGTTGTTCTGACCTTCATATGTGTTCCATGGCACATGTACCCCCTTCAATAAACAAGCAAAAGTTTAAAAAATAGTTAAAAGAGGCTTGGTGATGTATCTCTTAGTGGTGGAGTACTTGGCTAGCCTGTACAAGGCCCTGGGCTCTATCTGATCTATAGTGTGGTGGTCTGAAATACAATGGCCCTCAAAGGGAGCATTATTCGGTGTGGCTTTTTTGGAGTGGGTGTAGCCTTGTTGGAGGAAGTGTGTCACCTTGGGGTTGGGCTTTGAGGTATCCTATGTTCAAGCTACTCCCAGGGAGACAGACCACTTCCTGTTGCCTGTGAGTTAAGATGTAGGACTCTCAGCTCCTTCTCCAGTGCCATGTCTGCTTGCACGCCACCATGTTGCTGCATGATGATAATGGACTGAACCTCTGAAAAAGCAAACCACTCAATTAAATGTTTTCTTTTTGTGTGTGTGTGGGGCGCGGTTCGAGGCAGGGTTTCTCTGTGTACTTTTGGTGTAGCCTCTAACCATGTCAGTCCTGCTCTTACAAGCATTCTGGCTGACTGTACTCTCCTTGCCACAGCTCTGCCATGGCAGAAAGCACAGACCCTGGCTGCTCGCGCTGGCTCTCTCGGTGCCTGCTGCCTGTTATTCGATGATACCCCACGGGTCTCAGTGATGCTGAGGCTGGGTCAGCCGCTGCCTCCACTGCTGCTGCTTGTGGCGGGGGCTTCTGAAGCTGCCAAGTCCACAGTAGCTTCTCAGTCCCGAAAGTTGCTTTCTGCATCCCAGGTCCCACACTGGGGAAAACCTACTCTACTCTTAAGTTAAACCTTCTATTAAGCCTAAATCTTCACCATATCCCTATACCTAAAGTCTATATTTCTCAAAATTCACCAAAACTTGTATGACTTATATTAGTAGAGAGAGAGAAACAGACAGAAAGGGATACTTGCTGCAACCTAACTTAAATTACTCTGCTTTATATTTACAATTTTACTCCCAAAGAAAAGATTATCACCACCTCAATTACCTGAGCATTCCCACTTAACCCATGGTGTTCCTTCTCTTTATCCTCTGTACCCAAGTTCCATGTCCAGGCACCCTATGTGGGAGTCTTTCCGAATCCAGCTCCGACCTGTCAAAGGGTTCTTGGGGGAAGGCATGGGTCTAATAAGGGCAGCCAGTCATCTTAGATGCTGAGTCATCTCTCCATCCATGGCTCTCTAATTTTTTAGTTACATTTCTGGCTTGTCTACCACTTTTTTCAACTAAGTCTTGTAAGGAGCTTGCCCTTCTGTTGTTATTGTTGAGGCAGGGTCTCATGTATCCCTGGGTCACCTGGAACTTGCTATGTAGACCAGGCTGGCCTAGACCTTGCTGCAGTCCTCCAGACTCTACTCCCCCTAGTGCTGGGCTCACAGGTGTGCACAACCATCTCCAGCTTCATAACTCCTGTTTGTTTGTTGTTTGTTTTGGAGAGTCTCATTCTGTAGCCTAGGCTGGCACCCTCAGTCAGGATCCTCCTGCCTCAGCCTCCCAAGTTCTAGGATTATAGGCATGTGCTACCACATTTGTCTGTGCTCTAAAAACGTTAAACCACTCAGCTGACAAAGTTGTAGGCTTTTGGCCACTTCCACCTAGTTCCCAATTTTGTCCACCCAACAATACCCACAAAATACTGATTTTTGTTTTTTGAGACAGGGTTTCTTTGTGTAGCTTTGGTGACTGTCCTGGAAAAACTGATTTTTTTCTTTCTTTTTTTTTTTTGGTTTTTTGAGACAGGGTTTCTCTGTGTAGCTTTGCGCCTCTCCTGGAACTCACTTTGGAGACCAGGCTGGCCTCAAACTCACAGAGATCCGCCTGCCTCTGCCTCCTGAGTGCTGGGATTAAAGGCGTGTGCCACCACCGCCCAGCCGGAAAAACTGATTTTTATAGCCAATTCCACAGTGATAAAACTTCCCAAAGAAGAGGCTGGAAAGATGGCTCTTCAGTTAAGAGCGCTGACTGCTCTTGCAGAGTTTCCAAGTTCAATCCTATCCTCCCCACCCCTCATATGGAGGCTAACAATTATCTGTAACTTCAGTTCTAGGGAATCCAACGCCCTCCTCTGGCCTCCACAGGCACCAGGAATGCACATAGTACATAAATATACAGGCAAACACCGAATACACATATAGTAAAATAAAATTAAAAAAAAAACTTAAAAAAAAAAGAGAGAGTTGGGCAGTGGTGGCACACACCTTTGATCTCAGCACTTGGGAGGCAGAGGCAGGCAGATCTTTCTGAGTTCAACGCCAGGCTGGTCTACATGGTGAGTTCCAAAACAGCTACATAGTAAGAACTTGTCTCAAAAACAAAAAACAAAAAACAAAACCAAAAAAACAGGGAGCTGGACAGATGGCTCAGTGGTTAAGAGCACTGGCTGCTCTTCCAAAGGTTCTGAATTCAATCCCCAGCAACCACATGGTGGATCACAACCATCTTAATGAGATCTGGCGCCCTTCTGGCCTATAGGCATATATGTGGGCAGAACATTGTATATATAATAAATAAATAAATCTTAAAAAAACACTCAACAAAACAAAACAAAAAACCAACAACAAACAATCAAAAAGTTCCCATTGAAGTTCTGTGAGCAGTCTTAGGCAAAAAGGAAGTAGAACAGTATAGACAGATTTTTCTTTGGGCCACCAGCTCTCTTCCATCTTGCACTTCCTGTTTCATTCCCTCTCCATGTCCTTAGGCATCACTCTCATGCCTAGATTCATCTCCTTTCTTTTCCTCTCTGCCCAGAAGTCCCACCTAACATCGTCCTGCATAGCTATTGGTCATTCAGCTATTTATGAAACCAATCACAAGGCACCTTGGCAAAGACACATCTTTACAGTGTACAAAAAGATTATTCTACAACATTTCCCCCTTTTTGTCTAGATAAAAGGGAAAGGCTTACTCTATCACAGTAAAACTACATATAATAAGAACAATTTTCAGATAGTCTCCAAATAAATTTGGAGAAAGTTACTGTATTATCTATCCT